TTTACAGGATGTGGCATGCTGCAAGAACATCAATGGACTAGCTTGCTTCGGGGGACTACTCGGCATCTTCCAAGTCGGGACACAGTGGCTCTGCTTTGTTACCATGTCAGCTCACCTACTATCTGCCCTACTATCTGCCCGGTAGCGTTCGTGTGGCTAATGCAAGATCGTTTACAGCCTGCTTCTATTCGTCATTTACTTCCCCCGAGCCACCTCTCCAACCTCGCCTACAGAATCAGAATCTTCGGCGAGGAATGGCCCAACATATAGAACAGCCTTGATTGTCAGCGGTATTTGTATCCTCCACGCCGTGGTGACGTTCATCACCTCTGTCGCAATCGCAGTCAACCAACCATCTCAGCTTCAGGCATGGTCCAACTTCTCAGGGGTGGTGGCTGCCATCCTCGCTTCGATCCAGTACTTCCCTCAGATCTACACTACTTTGAAGTTGCGGTGCGTGGGTAGTCTGAGCATCCCCATGATGTGTATCCAAACCCCGGGAAGTCTTGTGTGGGCAGGCAGTCTAGCTGCACGACTGGGACCAAAGGGGTGGAGCACATGGGGCGTGTTGATTGTGACGGCATGTTTACAAGGCACGCTTTTGGTACTGGCCGTCTTTTTTGAATATTTTGGGCCCAACAAGCAGCGCAACCATCGCCATGGCAAAGATCGTCCTCCGAACGGTACTGGAGAAGGCCCAGAGGAAAGAGACCATGAGCAGCCGTCTGAGGAAACGCCACTTCTTCAAGGTCAGTGATCTATTTAGCGCAGAATCGACCGAGCTTTCGCATCAGGAACGGGCACCCTTCGGCTTGTTTTCTTTGGATTTTCCCTAGACTGTTTTCCCGAGGCTGCTGAGCAGCTCGGACTGCATTGTGTTGAACCCACGAAGGAGAGACTGTCTCAGCGAACCGATGTCATGTCTTTTGACATAGAAAAGTAGAAGTTTCATCAACTATATTCATTTGACGAAACCAACGATAGAATAAATGCTTTCGGGTGCATGCAACATTCGGACTGCCGTTGTGCGGCATCCATTAGAAGACATGCCTTGACTTCTCTCGTATTCATTATCGTAATGTGACCATTTCCTTCCCGTCACCAGAAGTCTCACCCAGTGCCCTTCCGGCCAACCCGCAATCCTTTCACATCAATTCCTTTACGCAGGGTAGATGAGTCGGAACATGTCGTTGAAGACATAGTAGCTCTCACCCTCACGAAGAAGCTGGAAAGTCTGAGAGTAGCTCATGGGCTTCTGCTCCTCATCGACCTGTTTGATATCAGTACCACAATCCTACAACAACGAACCAAACGGAAAAGGCCTAACGTACCAGCAGACCACCGGTGACCATGACCATGATGCCGCCCTCCGTGTTCGAAGGTTGAGCATCGAAGGTCGCGATCTGGTGCTGCACCTTCTGGAAGGGGAGAGACTGTCGCAAGATTAACCCTCTGCGCCATTACTGAATCACACTGGAGAGAACACGAACCGTCAACTTCTCGACAATGCCGCTGACACCCTGGACCGAGGAGGTTTCGAAGGTAAGCATAGAGTGGTCACGCTATAGTTTGTCCGTCGTGGTCAGTTTCCGCGGGATATTCACTTTCGCAAATGGCGACGGTGATGCGGTAATCATACGTAGAGACTGGCCAACGCCTGACGGTTGGTGTCGAAGGTCTGGTAGTAGAATTGCACGAACTGCTCTGTTGATTGAGAGGGGAGGGGTCAGAATCTCCTGGCCGTGTTTGTGCATCCGGGGTCAACCAAGGAATACGTACGAGCAATGTTTTGGAAGTCTAAGAATTTGTGATAAGTTAGTTCAAATTTTCTCTTAATATATGCATTGTGAAGGACGATGGTCGTGCATGCGACTGGCCTCAACCGCTGTGGAGGGGTTTAGGGAGGAGGGGCAGCAAAACATCAAGCAAAATAATAGCCATCAACAAAGACATGACGCAGGTCAGGAATGTTGTGGGACAAGACTTACCGGCCATTTTGATGAGTATACTCTACTTCAGAGCGGACGAAAGCAAAAAGAGGAATAAGAAAGGGATCTTTGGTAGTCTGAGAAGAGAGGATCGGATCGCAAGTTGATATTTGAGTCCGAGAGGGGAGAGGTGTGGGCCCTGAACCGTGAGGCTTGGGGCGTCTTTTTATCGCCCGCCGATAAATGTTCCTGCCTGAACATCAGACACTATTACGGCCTCCTCTGCGCCGCTAAATGCTGCCTTTCCTGGGCTACGAACGAAAGTTGCCTAACAATTACACACAATATTTGGCAAGTCTACGAAAATAGTGTGAATTGGACCGTCAATGATCGTCAATTCTACATAACAGTACATCACTCAGTGTCGGAATCCGCGAACATGTCCTCTGCCTTCGGTCGCGGTTTTCGAGCTGGAGGCCCGGATTCGAGCTGAGATGGCGTTTCGGATTTGCTGGGCGCTTCTTCTTTCTGTTCGGTCTCCATGGCCGAATCCTCCTCCAGTGGCTCTCCATCCGGTGCTTCTTCTAGGTCGCTGTCTTCCATAGGCTCTCCGTCTATATCACTCATAGGCTCTCCAACCAGATCACCTCCTGCTGTAGAAGCGGGATGACCTTGGTCGATGTCCATTCTGCTCTGATCAGGTTGAGCAGGAGGACGCGAAGGGTCGAACTTCCCGACTGTTTCGTCCTCCTCCAGAGTCTTCCAGCGACTCTTGCCCTTGAAAAACGCCCCAGCAGCCCGATCCGCCTCCGCTTTCGCCTTTTCTTCCCGTAGTTCCTCTTCTGTAAGCGGCGGTTTCTCAAATACCTGAGAGAAGTGTTCCTGACTCGACTGCGGAAACACGCACCACCCTTCCCAGAGGTGCAGCAGTGAACCTACGCTTCTCTTCCATTTCTCAGCTCGTAACCGTCCCCAGTTCAGGTCTTTCTCGAGTCTACCTAGGTGCTCAAAGACCCGGTGGGACTTTAATGCTGCTTCAAAGAGCTGTCGATAGCGCCAAGCATGGCGCACACCACTCGTGGCAGACGACGAGAGAATGTCGGAGACAAGATAAAGCCCGACCAGCTTGGCGGAAGATGTATCCATGTTGCTTTTGGACGATGGAGCTTCTTCACCCGAAGCGTCATTGGATTCATTTCTGGTAGCTTCCTGCCGAGCGAGACCCTTTTCAATCTCGCGGTCAGGATTAGCCCCAGTGTATGCAAAAGGGTTGATGATGTTGGACACTATCATCTCCACCACTTCCTCAGCGCCTGCGCCAGCATGTCCAATGGCAAAAGCGGTAACGCGTGCAACATCACCTTTCCGTAACTTCGCATGAGTGGTTGGGAGCCGAGCAAGGAGATGTGTGAGTTTGGCTTTCTGTAGCGGGTTCATGTAACCGAGTCCTTCGTTACCAGTACCAACTCCGTCGGCTGGCGGAGCGCCCCCTAGGTGTCGTCTCTCATCCTCCCCGTCTGACATTTCTTCGTCGGACGAATTGTAATCCTCATCGGAAACAAACTCATCCATGCGTGTGGTGTATTCAAACTTGATGCCCGTCTCCGGTGATACCCAACTTGGGCCACCCTCAAATAATAACGATGCATTTTGACTCCTACCGCGCCGAGCCCCTTTAGGATGGCTGTTAGTGAGGATATCCCATAGTTTCCAGCGATAGTACACTCCTCCAGCACTTCTTGGATCCCACAGCCACGCCCACTTCTCATCTCTTTGAACCTCAGGCCGACTCATAAGTAGAGCCTCAAATTCCGGGCCGTAATTTAATAAATTCTCCAAGGTCTTGTGTATCAACCTCAGCTGCTTCAGATCTGAAGGTGTTTTCACTTCCACCTGTGTGACGGGTCCGCTGCGACCATATGCTGCTCCATACGAGGTTGGGGGCGCGAAGCCACCACGGTGAGACCCAGGAGGGGGCGCACGATTCAAGCGGCCTCCATAATCCGGGGTAATGGTCTTCGCACCGAATGGAAGAGAGCTTGTTGACGACGGACCCACGGTGACCGGCATCGAGGAACTGATTGCGGCAGAGGAGAGATGCCTTGAAATCGAAAGATAGTATCCCCATCCTAGATATCTGTTTTGTAGTGCACTGACGGTAGAGTCTATGTCCGAGGCAGCGGATTCATTTGCAAGAGTGACAATGGCGGAAATGGACTTGCGATCGGTCGGAGACTGATTGGAGGGGCGGAGGATTTTCACGTTGTCGACAGATAACACCGATGGAATGAGCGATTTGATTGCAGAAGGAGAAGTTCCGGGAGGTAATGAAGCCAGATAAAGCGTAGGTTTTGCCGCTGCTCTCTCGGCCTCTTTCGCATCGGCTGCCCTGTCCTCCTCGTCGTCCGAAGTGCGAAAGGCCGACGCAGCCGGGGACGATCCTGAACCGGTGTTGTCAAATCCTAAGATACCCTGCGCTGACTCTCTATTCCTCTGAAACGGTTGGAATCCTTCATGAGTACGTTTGCGAGATAGCGACGACGGGGGAGGTCCCAGAGTCCCCGGGCCGCTGCTTCTAGGACCTGAACTGGTAAAATGGCGTTTCGCAGGTCCACCTCCAAACGCGGCGCTTCTTCCTCCAAATGTGTTGTTCGGCCTACTTCCGGCTGCGAATCGATCGGACGGCTGAGAATCATCCTCAAATGACTTGACAAAATCCTCGTAAACAGCAGCTGTCTCTGCTTGCTCTCGGGCACGCTTGGCTTCGGCTTCGGCCTTTTGACGTTCGAAGAGAGATTTCTTAGGGAGAGCGGACAGTTTGGCCGAGATATCTGGAAAAGCCTTGGACTTTGCGTCGTCAGGCATCGTGAAAGAGCCGCCTATGCAGCAAATCACTTGTCGTGAGCTTCGCGCTTAGTAGACGTAGCGTATCGTAGTGGCTCGCAAGTTGCAATCATTAAGAGGCTCTCGGAGCGGAGGCGGAGATCGTTGCAGCCTGAGGCAGAACCAAGCCAGCTCCAATACAGTGCGACACGACCTTAGCAACAATTACTCTCATGAAAAGCATCAGCCATGGCCTCAGCGGAAATACAGACTCTGTTGCGATTTTTGTCAAAAGATGCCAAGTTACCATTGGCGTCTGCCATGGGCAAAGTCATGGATCTCCAGAAAGCCAACCTAATATCGTATGAGAACCATTCTAAGTCTCTMCATCATATGCAGCTATCTAACATGGAACAGCGTGGAGCAACTTTCAAAAGCAGACATTAAGTCTCTTCAGGAGATTTTCAAAGATGACAAGGTCGCTAAACAGGTGCTGAACGCTGCCAAGAGAGCCTCCAAAAAGCGTCAAGCGCCAACTGGCAATGCAGACTCGCCACAGAAAAGGGCCAGGGGAGCAGCTGGCATTGATACCACACCGTACGAGACTGAATCGGCACTTTCTTTGCCTATCTCATCGGCGTCGGAAGATGAGCTGTCGCGGATTATTCTGTTAACTAACAGGGCGCCTCTTGTGCTCGCATTTGCAGTCTGTGTCTTGAAATACACGATGCCAGAGCAGCCAATCTCCAGCAGACTCAGCCTTGCTCAAGCTGTGGTCAGTGCCAACAGCCGCTCGAAGGCCATCAGCCTAGGAATTGAAAGCGGCAAAACCGCGGAGCAAGAAGGTTGGGGTGAAGGCCATCCTGTAATCAAAGTCCTAGGGCGAGAGATCAATGTTCTAAAACGGTGGGATTATAATCCCCAAGAAGGCAGACCAACAGAAGAACCAAGCCTAGAGCAAGATGGTGGGAACGCTGCCGCCGCATCTGCCGAGATCTTGGGCAAAGGAGATTCAGATGGCTCAGACACATCGCCTCCTCTTTGGGGCGTGGATCTTGAAGCCCTACGGACTGCCCAGGGCAGTGGTGCGAGTCCTGCTACGAAAGGCAATACAAGTCTTCCCATCTTCACGCCGAATTCTGCAAAATCATATCTCTACAGATCCTTTACTGAAGCGGTTACAGGGACTGCAGAGACTGACAGTGGCTCCAGCAAGACAAAACGCAAGTCGGTCAAGCAATTGGAAGCCGAGAAAGAGACTTGCTTGGGCTACTTACTGCAAGCTATAGACCTGGTCTGCCAGTCCTGGGCCAGCACTCTCAGCAAAGAGGAGCTGGATAGACGTGCTTGGGCCTGGTATCTTCGCGTGAGGCCGGACGTTCAGAGTGGGCCAGGAGGTTGGGGCGAAAAAGGGCAAGTGAAATTGTCGGATATCCTGGCGCTCCGAAGAAATCCTTGAACAGCCTGCCTGGAGCTAGCTGCACCCTTACTGAAGAGAGCTTGCCGTCTCCGCTCTCTTCTGCAGCGCGTGCTGCACTTTCGCCGCTTCTTCTGCGTTCCAGCTTCTCACTCATACTCCGCTTTCACAGCGGCAGGAGCGGTCGCCTCCTCAGCTTTGGTATTCTTGGCACACCTGGCAAGGGCGAGCTCCCGGTACCCTTCATCCTGGCTAGGGACTGCAGAGCGCCAGCTGTCACCAATGCGATGAAAGTATGCCTTCCAGTCAAACGAGTGCTGGAGCATGGACAGCCGCTGTCGCCGAAGCAAAGCGGCGCCGCGGAGGTCGGAGTAACTGTTCGTTCATATTCCTTGTAACAGCAGCCTTCACCGGTGATCGGGGGAGGAGAACCGCTGATGTGTGCTCGTCGAATCACCCGTCGTCGGCGTTCCTCCACGCTACCAATGCAACGTCAAATATAGCGACTACAATATCTACAGAAATAGCGACGCAAATGATTGGATATGACTGGCTCTGTTTTCGTGATTGAGTCAATGACTACCTTGCATCTCCGTGCTTGATTGAGACACTGACAGGCTCTACCGGAAAAGCGTACAGGTATTGCGGTTCAGCTAGATATTACTTGATGAGTGAACCAGACTTTTTGTAAGCCCTCACGTTCTAGACTTGTAGAAAAGTACTCCGATCCCCGAACACTCATATTCGAAGAAACTAATAAAATATCGACAAGGTGGATCAAACGGATGAACTGTTCTCATCCGGAGCAGTAAAGGCAACATCCAATGTCATTGGACGGAGATGTCTGTTCCTGTACCAAAACCCTACGAACCAAGTTCAGAGTTCGATTTCCTGATCCAATGAGCTTTCTGTCCATTGGATGAGGCAGCCTGGTACCTGAGACGACCAAGTCACCGCCGGATACTCTGCCCTATGAAGATTGTAAATGCTTGTCTCGCGGCAGAGTATTATGGTTCTCTATGCCGATTGATTTTTCACGACACTCTTTTCCTTTCCGCCTGTCCCCAAAGCTATGTCTTAACGCTGAGTCTTGTGCGGAGTGGGAGAGATCGATGACAATTGTTAGGCTCTTCAGTCAGTTATGCACCTTTTCGACTACCATATCTCCGTTAAAGGATAATCTCGATAGATAAATGACGGATCCAACGGACAAGTGCATTTCGGAGAACTTCCTCAGCGTCCCACTGCCCACTCAGATTTAGGTAGATAGAGTTTGGCGTTGGAGGTAGATTGGGTTCCACCGGAGTCCCAGAGAATCGCCCATCGGTCCGATTCTCGAATTCTACCTTATATATTTAGTTCTGTTCTGTTGCCTTCTATGGTAATTAAAGTGGGTTTTGGAAGGAGTAGGGGCTGGGGTTTAGGCTCTAACGATCTTTTGCGAAAATAGGTAATCTCTCAATGTGCCTTTACGGAGTACCCTGTATGGAGTTTACAACATCGTTGAAAGCCGTCAGAAGCATGTCCATGGATATCTCTAGAGTGAAGAAACGTCGATCCGAGGAATATGCCATAAATAGTATGTATCTCGTTCATCACATCATCATTGCAGGAAATGGACGTCCGGAATGGCGATAATCAATCCTCATAGGGTGCTATTTTCTATGGCGTATTTTAACTTGTTTCAGATTTGGAAAGGTCAGGCTCGTAACCTAATTACAGCTTGGCTTCGTCATAATTCAAGGAGAGTAAACCAGCTCACCTTATGGTAATGGACGGCTTCATCCCAGTACTTCTGAAGGTACCTAGGTAGTACCTTGATAGCCTTGAAACCAACAGAAACCGAAAATCATCGTCCGTTGTATTGATCATTAGTCTGACAATTCTGTGTAGGTAAGCTGGATTGACTCTTCTAGACAGTTATCACAAGTGGCGAGTCTCCGCAAATTACCTTGCTGCATCAAGGTAAAGTACCTTACTCCGGTAAGGTACCTACTTGTAAGATGTTTCGATTATTTGTATTCACGTAAGAAATACGAAGAGATGGGTGGACGAATGTCATCATCAACAAATATCTAATCAACTACTGAGCAGGAACTAGTATCATCAAAAGCCACAAAATCGACTTACCATTCTCTGCAAGATAACTAATTCATGGAGTCCAAAAATTTGGTCTAGACCAGAAAAAGAGCCCACATCTGATGTCCTCGTTGTTCTGCGACCGCACACCCTCCTCAAAGTCTCGCTCGTTACTAATTATTAGTTAGACGGAGTTCCTCTTTTTTTTTGCAGTCAACTCCCTTAGTTTAGTTTGTCTGGTGCGCTAAGGTAACCTAACCACTACCAGCCCTCCATACTCCGAGGATTCTACCAATTGCCAAGTCTCCCCGTCTCGCTCTCGTTCTCACTCTCCCTCCTTCTCCTCCCAGTGAAACCCTTCCAACACCACTACCACCCACCGTTAACATCACCATCAACATCAACATCAACATCAACAACACCATCCTCATTCCTTATCTTAATTGGTATAATCTTTCTTTTATTTGAAAGAATAATCCATTTCTCCTCGACATCCCAACCTTTCGCTTCAGCCCTCTCTGATCCCGTTCCTCTCCATCATCCATCTGCCTAGATTCCAGTCAACCCGGAACAGTCTCGTTCAGGTGACTGTTTCCACCCCCCTCTCTGGCAGACTGACTGGACATCAGAGGAGGCCCGACAGGGCTGTGTAACGCCATGTCTGGGCGTCTCTCTTCCGATCGCTCGCGTTCCTTATCGCAATCCTCGCAGTCTCTCCCTCAACGACACTCTCAAGGACTGGATTCCGACTCAATGCATCATCGTTCTCCCTCCGGTCGCTCCTCGAACGTTAATGTCTTTTCAGATGAATACTCACTGGAACCGATTGACTCTGAACAGTCTACCCTTACGCCGCGCAGCCCCTCAATTTCGTCCACCGCTTCATCTCATACGCTTCGTTCGGCTGCCCTTCCTCCTCAGAAAACATACAACACCGTGCCCATTGATCCTCCAGATGTGATCGAGAATCCATTTGGCGATGATGCTAGGGTCTCCTTCGATGATACCCCCCATCGATCAAGTCTACCGCAGAAAGGGGGATTGGATTTTTCTACCCGTGACTCGACTGCTTCCAACAACACAGATGCCTCCGTGGCTCGCCGCAGTCAAAGTACTTCCTCGCGGTTCTCCTTACCAACTCGCGCAATGAGTCCTTACACCGGAGCAACTGGTCCCAGTCACCCATATGCGATGTATCCACAGGTCGGTGTCAGCCGATCGCCCAGCATTGCTACTACATCAACTGTGCGACCGATGGAGCGACCGTTGGGCGATTCAAACGCGCCACAACACCCATATGCCATGTATTCGCAAGCTGTCGTGCCAGAGGAGGCATTGGATACTCCCATTCATAATCCGGTGATCCCGCTCGGATTTCCCGGGCACGAGCAAGCCTATCAGCGACCCCCTGGCCGTGCTGATGACGATGTTGGAGATCTCATAGGGCCTGATGGCCATACCGAACAACTTCCTCCTTATTCACGGTACCCTGACGGGATTCTACCGAAGGAGGAAGGCACACCGGAGTCTGGAGTTGGTGCTGGCATCATCACAGAAGAAATAGCGCGTAGTACGTCGCGAGAGCCCCCCGTCTCAGAGACTTCCTCTAGGACTTTAGTAGCGGCAAATACGGGAAACTCGGTGAATGGGAATCGAAACCCTCCTGAAGAACATGAGGAGCAGCCCGCTACGGGCGTTATGGCGTTTGAGGAAAAGTTGAAAAGCAAAGGCAAGAAGAGGGTGTGCTGCGGATTGCCGATCTGGACACTGGTTCTTATCAGCATCGTTATCTTTGTGGTAGCGTGCATTGCAGGTGTCATTGGGGGCGTTCTTGGGGCGAAAAAGGCGGCGAGAGAGGAAAGCTCGAAACCCAAAGGTCCTTACATCGTCACGGTGACAGCTACGCCCAGGGCGGATGCGACGCCCATCTCATCGATGCCGGCGAATGTGTTGCCTGTGCCGACCGGCGAGTTCCTCATTCCGGCCAATCCCAAGAACCAGTCGAAATTTTGCATTGCTGAGTCGGCTTACACAGCATCATGGGGCTGCATTGGCCGCAGCAAAATCCCGATCATAGTTCAGGGAGGGGATGGTCATCGGCACAATATCACTTTCGAACAACGACCCCTGAGCTCTTCATTCTCCTATGGTGCCCAGGCACCGGTTTTGCCCCAGACCCAGCAACTGACCCCGGCCTACGATTCGGGCGACATGGCCCTAGGCCCTGCCCTTACTTTCTTCACCTTGTTTGACAAGCTGGTTATTGTCCCCCAAGGGACCTTCTCTTCGAATTATGCATCGAAGCGCTCCGTCTCAGAGCGCGACGTGATGGCTGAATCTTTCCATCGCAAGCAGACAGTGCAAGCAGGCGATCGACCGTGGTTTTGTTGGTGGAATGGCACCATGATGGAATTCTTTTTGTACACGAATCAGACATCCAAGAATGCTCGGCAGAGCTCGACGGCTTCATCCGCACCGGGCGAAACGTCGGCCGCTCAGAATGGGAAGAGAGGCACGACATCTGTTGATTCTTTATCTGACTATCCTCGCCGGATCAAAATAGAGGAGAAGCGAAACCACCCTGGTTCCCGAGCGCCCTACTGCCAGCAGATGCAGGTGTTGGACGACGGATCGATAGCAACGGCTTCCCCCGAGAGAATTGAGATCAAGGAAGTGGAACCGACACCGACAACGACCCTCAAAGGCTATGGCAGTGCGACTCAAACCTACACAGCCAAGGCACAATATGAAAGTGTGTGCTACTGCGCATCATTGACCGATTAGGTCGGCTTGTTGATAGGCAAATCTCTTATCATGAAAGGTGTCTTTCGGTCGAGGCGTTGGCGTTCTCAAAGGTGCAAGTAGCTGTGTCATGCATGATCTTCACGACTTAATCCGCCAGAGGCGATTGATCCCAGTTTATTCTCCGACATTGGCGTGCATCTTTATTCCTACGAGGTTTCTTTCTTTTCACCTGATGCGTTCTCGGTTTATGTTCTTTGCCAGAGTGTTCTGACTCGACTTCTGAGCTGAATATCCCTTTCCCTTGTAGCATTTCTTGTCTGGGGATATCATTACACGGCGTTCACACGGAGGTTATAGTGCATAAAAGGCACCTTCCTGTCATTCATGCTTTGGGCTAGTCTCTTTTCTGTCTATGCGTGATCTCCATTTTTTTTTGTTGCAGCTACTGGTCAAGATATTGGGTTACAGCGATAGTATGATGGCAATATCATCACGAATTGTCTTTTCACGGTCAATGGACAATTAAATAAGTCCGAGATTCGTAATTCGCAATTGTAGACCTTCGTATGCTTCAATGAGTTGAAATTATGGCTTGACCGCATTCAGGTGAACCGGTGATCCGCGACGGGATGACTATGTTCAAACGTCATTGTCCCCGATCCAAACAGGACACGGCACGCCACCAGGCCTCATATGAATCGGCTTTTGGGAGGTTTAGCAATGAAATAACCGGTTGTTGATGATCCGGGCGATCGGTTTCTTGATATAAATACTTTTTCCGCGGACCTTAACCCAGTGCCTTCCGACCTGTTTACAACAATTATCTCTAATATACTCCAGTATACTACAACAATGAATCCAATCCTCCGCAATAGCCTCTCATCGAAGGCACTCAAATCCTCGACTCTCCCGATCTGTCGCCAGAGGAGCCTCTTCCGTCAACCATGGCGGTTCTACTCTCAGAGCTCCTACGGCGAAGCGGAACAGAAACCAGAAGGCAAAGCAGAAGCTAAAACGAGCAAGCCTACGCGCGATATAGAACATCCAGGTGAATCTCCCGCCTTTGTAGCTGGATGCTCTCTCTCCTGGTCAGTATAATGGTTCAGCTCCATGCTGACCGCGACGCAGGACCCCCTCCCCCAGACGTTAGCAAGGGCAAGGGCTCATCTTCACCTTCATCCTCATCCTCGTCATCTGGCGGTGGTCCCAGCTTCCAGAACCAGCCACCCTCAGACGAGGAAACCCGCCGCAACAACGACGGCGCTGAGGTGTACCCGCACGCCACGACCAGACCGTCGAATAATGCCCGGCCGACCATCAGCAAAGGGCAGTCACCCAACCTCGACGAGGAGGGGAAACCGCGTCCGGATGTGCCCGAGGACGTGAGGCAGCATAATGAGGAGATCGAGAATCGGCATGACCGGGCGTATAACAAGCTGGAGGATGATGGGAATGTGCAGAAGGTGTCTTGGAAAACTGGCAAATAGAGGGGGCCGGGTGGTTTGGTTGCTGCTTGTTTCGGGGATGGTTGGTTGGAGCTGGGGGTTGGATGCTGATGTTGATGCGGTTGAGTAGTTCCTGTTGGCTGACTATCTTACCGGGCGCTTGAGTCTGCGGTCTTTATATGAGTTGATGCTTGTAGCCGCCCATGTCGAAGGTCATGATAAGGTCGCAGTGTGCGCTGAATGACATGTGTACCATAAGTTGATTTTGAATGAAATTGCATCTTGATGATGATCAGATTCGCGTACAACTTGATGATGCGATAATTGTAATTTCAGGCTGGCTCTCACTGTCTATGTTGATTCGGGCCAGGGTGTATGCGGTGCTTGAGTCGAGTCGAGTCGAGCTGAGGCCACTTGTATGATTTGATAACGACGAACGCGGAGCTCCCGCACCAGTTCGGAGCTAACTTACAGCCTCTCAGGGGACTTGGCCAACACCATTTCACTCTTTGCCCTTTGTGCTCAATTCCGGTGTTTGATTCAATTTTCGGACTATCATCTTTCTATTTGACTGTTATTTTTATCATTTTAGAGTAAGATGAGCGACACAAAGAACAAGTACTCGGTCATCCTGCCGACGTACAATGAGCGCAAGAACCTCCCTATCATCTGCTGGCTACTCGAGCGGACATTCCGCGAGAAGTGAGAATAATTTTACTTGCTGCCTTCTCAATCAATCGCACGAGGCTAATTGTGTCTGCCCTACAGCAACCTAGACTGGGAAATCGTGATTGTCGACGACGGCTCCCCGGACGGCACCCTCGAAGTCGCCAAACAGCTGCAAGCCGTCTGGGGTCCCGAACACATCAACCTCAAGCCGCGGGCCGGCAAGCTGGGCCTGGGAACCGCATACGTGCATGGGCTGCAGTACGTCCGCGGCAACTATGTCATCATCATGGACGCGGACTTCAGCCACCACCCCAAGTTCATCCCCGAGATGATTCGCATCCAGAAGGCGACGGACGCGGACATCGTCACGGGCACGCGGTATGCGAGCCGCGACGGCATCAAGGGTGGGGTGTACGGCTGGGATCTGTTCCGAAAGTTCACGTCGAGGACGGCGAACCTGATTGCGGATGTTATGCTTATGCCTGGTGTGAGTGATCTGACGGGGAGCTTCCGGCTGTACAAGAAGAGTGTGCTGGAGAAGGTCATCCACAGTACGCAGAGCAAGGGGTATAGTTTCCAGATGGAGATGATGGTGCGGGCCAAGGCAATGGGGTTCAAGGTTGCCGAGTGTCCGATTACTTTTGTCGACCGGCTGTACGGGGAGAGTAAGTTGGGCGGGCACGAGATTGTCGAGTATCTCAAGGGTGTATTGAATCTGTGGTTGAAGGTTTGATCTGTCTCTCGTTTGTGCTTTGGGGGGTTCTATTCATGGTCGGCTTGGACCGCGACATGCTACACCATACCCTTATTCGTCTCTTATGCTTCTAATACTGCCAGTGCCACTGCCATGTTCTTTTGATATCTACTTGCTACTCTGTCTTCGGCCCTGTGTGTACAATAAAACGTGAAAACTACGTCATGATTTCATTCCACTACCGTCTCGCATTGGTGCAAAGCTAGATACCCTTCAGATAGCGAGTAACGCGCTCAGCAAGATCAGCCTGCCCCTGATCATTGACATTGTGACTTGCCCCGGGTATGATCCCGCTGTTCTGGTCCCACGTCCCAGCCTTCCCAGCATCAGTCGCCTCCCTCCACCGCGCCATCAGCGCCTCCTTATCCACCCACGGCGCCGCAAACTCGTCGTTCCCCGAGTACAGCACCAGCAGCTTGGACCTCAATAACCCTCGCGTCGCCACAGCCCCAAAAGTCTCGCCCAGCCGCTGATCCGTCAAATCCGAGCTAAACAGATCATCCTCCGCCGGCTCGCGAGGACTATCCGGACTCGCTAGACTCAGGAACCGCCGCGCACTGACAGGGTCAGGCGGCAAGCCAAGCTTGCTGCTCAGATTCAATGGTAGAATGATATCGCCTACGGGAGCCTGCCGCGCCAGCGAAACCAGCTGCTCCCACGAGCCCTTTGCCTCCGCACCCACATCGCCTGGCTTGCGCGTCTCCGCGAGTATGGCTTCACGGTCAGACACTGGCGCTTGCATGATCGCACCGTCGACTACAGGACGGTTTCCCTGAGTATAGAGATAGTGCAACACGTCCTGGCTTCCGGTCGAATGGCCCATGATGACGATCTTCCCTGGCGCCGATGCCGAGGCGGACGAGGCCTTGAGTGTGCGGACGAAGTCGATGCATTTCGCAATCTCCTCGACATCCTTGTCGAGACTGGCGATTCCCCACCCGCCGAAGGAGGAGGAGAGCTGGGCCTGGAAGACGGACCAGTCGGTAGGTTCGAGKGCGGCGGCGAGAGGTGCTACATAGGGGACGGTGCAAAGGCCGTCTGTCAGGCCGCCGACGAAGATGAGACTGTGTGGTTTTCGAGGGGTGGAGCTGGTGAATTCAAAGGCGACTAGCTTGGGGGCCTTCTCTCAGTCAGCTTGTGCTTGATCCGTTGATGTGTTGGTTTGATGCTTGTGAAATTACATATTCATGCAGTGTTCCTGGGTGTGATTTGGACATGTTTTAAGCCTTTGTTTCAGATATATGAAGAAGGGATTATCGATTTTGTCTGTGAGGGAACTGACTATCAATTATCTACTGTGTAGATAATGGTTAGTTCGTGGTAGTAGTCGTAGGACAGGCAGATTTGTCGCAGAACCGACGATATCAGGATGTAGCTCCACTAGAGCGGGGCCTACGTTTGAAGTCTGTCCTCGAAACGCACCTCAGGACAATGATCAATTCGATTGAATCAGTCTTTTTATTAAAACAGCAAACACGGCAGCCCTCTTGAAAAATAGGTATTTGTTTTGTTGATGCGCCATTGATAATGTGGGGTATCGATGAGGTCACTGGGTGTTTTGAGTACGTAAAATTACGCCGAAACCCTCATCTGCTGCCGCTGTCGATACGAAGATCTTCCCATCGTTTTGTATCGCCAATAGGTAGCTCTGTTCCTGCCGATCAAACAGTCGGTGCATGCCATGAAGTGACTGATTAGTCTTTGATGAATATGATCGGTTTCACCACTTCAGAGGATGTGATCTTATAAAAGAATGGTCTTTACATATAGTCATTGAAATCGTCACTTTCAACAACATCATCAAGAAGCCAGGGCGTTAAGGGATATCGCCAGATGCCTCATACACGCAGGTCCAACCGCCTATCTGGGGCAAGGGCCAGATACACAAGCGATCCCTTTGAGATCGCGGGAGTCAGTGATGAATCGGACTCGAGAGAAGGGACCACTTCTTCTCGGCGAAAAGCAAAGCAGCCTGTCCTAGCAGATGATTCCTCAGACGAGGAGTACGAAGAGGTCCAGACTGAAAAGGATGAAGTTGGAGGAGGCGAAGATGAAGACGTAGAGATGGTCAATGTCCCCGACGATGATGATGAATTCGTCTCCGACGAGGAGGACGAAACCGATTCAAAGAAGCCCAAAAAAGCCGGGCCTTCGCGAGTCAAGAATCCCAG